TAATTCCTCTGGCATAACATCCTTTATACCCAGCTTCAGTTCTGTTCTCATGTCTAGCTCCTTTCTTGGCTGATTTCTCTCTATATTTATCTACTGCTTCCTCTAAGTTCTATCTTAATTCTCTTGTCTTAACTCTGCCTCATCTAGGTCCTTTTCATCTTGTTCTTACCCAGCCAGTACTTCTCCATCTGACTCTTCCTCATCTTCCATCTCATTCCTCTGGTGCTCTCCTCTAGCCCTTCAATCTAGTTCTTCCCCATCTCAGTTTGCTCCTCTCAAGTTCTTACCCATCTAGTTCTTCCATTCTCTTTTCTCTTCACTGTCTCCCTGTGCCCTGGAAGTCCTGGTATATAAAGCCAGGCTTCCAGGGTCAAATGGAGGGGTGATAAGGATCACATAGAGAGGCAATAACCGTTAATTATCATTTGCAACCCCAAAGGGAAGTGACCAATGGGGAAATGAATTAACTAAAGGCTAAATTCGGGTAATATCTAAGAAGAGGGAATCTTATGTGCTCAACTATAGTCTTAAACGTGATTAGTAGAAAATGTTAAGAATCTATAAGTTGCTAGGTCAATGGGAGAAAATAAAACTGTCTTCTTTTTTCCTGTGGCTCCTATCTGTCCAAGCTATCTGCCGTTTTTCTGCAGGGTGGGGGAAAGTGTGCTCAGTCGCTAGGCAACCTGTGTACAGCTGGATGCCTCTGGTGATAGTTAAAGGGAGATCTGGAACTAGAGGTAAGGTTTGGGAAAGGAGGAAGTAAGGCTTAATTGGCACATCTGCCAGACCTTCTCAAACAGGTAGCCTGGATGGTTAAGTCTGTTCTTAGAGAATACAGAGGTATCTCTGATAAACTATTCTCCTCCATCTGGGGATGGACCTGGCCGGATGCTGCTAATGATGATAATTACAGGGAGGCTTGAACTGGGGTTCTGGCTGAGCATAGCTGTCAGCGCAGAAGGTTATCTAAATATTCCTAGAAGTGGTTAGGTAAGGAGTTAGCGGTCTATAAAGTTAGTAAGGCTGTAAGAAAGGAGAGTCCGAGCTGAATTGTGTAAAGCTATTACTTGATGTCCACCTGACCTAGGTGGTATCTCCTTGTGGAATTTACCTTAAATCAGGAGACTTGCATGTGGACTGTTATTACTGCTAGTCCTTGAAAGTGGCCAAGGGAGATATCTGATTCCAGAGAAAGCCTTTCCTGAGGCTGTTCTCCAAATACCTGGAATGTGTATGTCCAGAGAGTGATCAGTCCATACTGTTAGCCCTTCTTAGGGAAAAGTCAATTGGGAAAACTATGAAGGTACACATGATTTTCATAACAGAAGACAGCTGATATATAACAAGCCAAGTAACACCAAAAACTCCTTGGGATTTGGCTTCCTCTGGAGGAATTCCCTGATTCCTCCAGGTAGTGACTTTGCCATAACTAGCTGAGTTCTTATGATACATTCTTGCGGCCCGCAGCAATGAAACTCTTAATCTCAGGGTCATGGGTTCGTGCCCCACATTGGGCGCTGGATAATGGGATAATTCCACAGAGTCTATTTGATGATCAAAGGAATTTATTTGGGATTTAAGTCACAACAAGAATAAAGGAGTTGGTCGAGGAATCCTGGAGGGGTGGGGTACGGTCCAACATGGTTCTCAAGAGAGCTCTGCCTTGATCCACAGCACCAGCATCCAAGACCATGAGGTAGCAAGGAGAGAGGAGGGCATGTACATGCATCCCAGGTCTTAGGGGTCCCCGTCCTGGCCATGCCCAAGGGGCCGGTGTCTAACAGCTACCTGCTGCCTCACAAGGGGCGGTACTTCAGGGCCTGGCACAGACAACCCCCCACTACAGTAGCATATGGTACTTTGAACAGTACTGCTACAAATGCTGACATGCCTTCTGTGAAATGTCTGTGAGTTCTGTTTGGTTATATAGGTTGGAGTGTAGCTGCTGACTCAGATGATAAGTGTGTTCCACTTCAGATAGATACAGTCAGACACTTTCCAAAGTGATGATACCAACCAGCATGAGGGAAGAGTCCTGGTCAGTCCATGCCCTCTGAGATTCAGTCTCTTTCATTGTAAACATTTAGAGGAGGGTGTGGTGACACTGTGGTTTCCAGATGACTAACAGAATTGAGCACTTTTTCTTATTTACTGGCTTGTGGTTTATAAAAGAGCCATCTGTTTAACTTTTGCCAATTTTTTTTTGTTGATTTATATGATACGTGTAAGTTCTAAGCACATTTTATTAACTATTGGAGTATTCATTCATACATGCATACATGCAATCTTCTCCCAGTATGTTTTTTCACTTGGTTGGTTCTCTCTCTCTCTCTCTCTCTCTCTCTCTCTCTCTGTGTGTGTGTGTGTGTGTGTGTGTGTGTGTGTGTGTGTGTGTGCGCGCGCGTGCGCGCGCTCTAAGATAGGATATTTCCATGTAGCTCAGTCTGACCTGGAATTTACTGTAGGAATTTACTAGACTGACCTCTAACTCATACATACACTTTCTGCTTCTATCTCCTGAGCTCAGGAATTATAGGTGCGTTCCACTATGCTCAACAAAGTGGTAATTATAGGTGTGTTCCACCATGCTCAACAAAGTGTTCTTCTTTCTTTCTTTCTTTCTTTCTTTCTTTCTTTCTTTCTTTCTTTCTTTCTTTCTTTCTTTCTTTCTTTCTTTCTTTCTCTTTCTTTGTGTTTTTTAAGACACAGGTCTCATTATGCAGCCCTGGCTGGCCTGAAACTCACTTTGTAGGCCACACTGACCTTGAACTCACAGAGACCTGCCTGCTTCTTCCTCCAAGCACTGGGATTAAAGGCGTGTGCTGTCACTCTCTACTTACAGTGATTTTTTTTCAAGGAAGGAAAATGTTTTCATTTTACTATAACACCAAATGTCATTCTTTCTTTATGATTAGCACTTTATGGGTCTTGTTCAAGCAGACTTGGATTACCTCAAGCTCATAAAGCTATTCTATATTCTCTAAAAGCTTAATGTTTAATGACATTTTGATCCATAGCACATACAGAATCTACTCATTTGAAAACAAATTCTCTTCTCCAGTGACAGTGACTGTTTTCCCACCCAGAGCATGGAATCACCTCTTTTCAAAACCCAGTGACTTCCTACTGCCCATGGAGTAAACTCTGCCTCTCCCCCTGCCTCCTTGACCTAAGTCTGTGCCTTGGGACGTCACTTACCTTCTTGCCTGTCCTCTGTCTTCCTAGTGCAGTCTCGGGCTTTGCACATGGGTTTCCTTCTGCTGGGCACAGTGGAGCATGCCTGTATTCCCAGTCCTTTGAAAGCCGAGGCGGGAAGATGGCGTGTTTGAGGCCAGTCTGGGTTATAAAGTAAAACCCTTCTAAAAATGACAACAAAAGTTACTCCTAGGCCTCTTGGCTAAGATGAAGGGGCGTTCCTTCTGCTCAGAGTGCTCTTCCTGCTGTCTTAGCGAGATCATTTCATCCACCTTCCCCAGAACAGACGCCCTCATCACAGTGTCTAGCATGAGTAAATGACATGTTAAGATGCTCCTGATATGTGTGATGGTGCTAATGATGTCTCACCACTGTATGTGACCTTTCTTAGAGGGAATGGGTTATGTCTTTCTTGCCGTTGTGCATCGTGTTTGTAGCATAAGACACAGAACAATTATAGGGTCCTAAGTGTAGTGCATGTGTAACCAATTGTATTCCCTATTTGTTAACACTGATCCCCAGTAAACAGACCCCAATGCAGATGGTTTAGAGTTTGGATGAACTGTAGCAGAGCATCAGCTTCTTGCACTCTTCCCTTCCTCCTCTTTTTTCTTTTTTTTTTTTTAAAGGAAAGACAATGAAAAAAATTATGGCTTGAAACCTAGAAACTCACTAGCCTGTAAGTGTGGAGCTAACGCATAGGCTAGAGAACTTAGGAGAGACTGCCATAGTTTTGTAAAGCCGGGGCCCGTTTCTGCCTGCCTGTTAGTGATGCTCACTGTACTTCCGGTTTACAGAGTTGCTGTTTTCCCTTCGTATTCTCTAGAGACATAGTGATTCCCAGTGACCTGATTCCTGTTGTTGGGGCTCTTCTGGGATGTGTGTATAATAGAACTTGTTCTGTGGGCATGAGTTAAACCCACTTTCCTAAGGGTTACTAGTTCATTCTTTGTCAAGGAATTGATTTCCACTGTTGATCACATTCATTTTTCCTTCACTTAAAGATTTTTAAGCTAATGTCTGACATGCAGTTCATTTTATTAATCATGACCTGTCATAAACTTACAGAGCAGAAACAGATTTTTAAGGTCATCTCATCCAGTTTTAAAAGCATTTCTGGATGAGTTGATGAGGTTAGAATGCCTTTGGTGGGTGGGTGATTAATTTCTCAAGCTTACCTGCACTGTGGGTATGTGAGAGAATAACCATATTCCTAGGGAAAGCACATGGAAATGTTTAGCAATAAAGATGATGTGATTTATACAATGCATTTCACATGGTTCAGGAAAATGTTTCTGCATACACATGTGTTCATGTACAAAGCGAAGCACCAAGGACATACAGACAATATTAACAGGTAGGATTAGGCAAAGAGTGTATTAGCGCTATTTATGCTATTGTGACCTCTGTGTGAACTCACTGCCACATAGTTTTTGAAAGTAGCTCTCACCTGTCCCTCTGAAGAGATTGATTACCCCAACACTGAGGTTAAGTAACTTCCAGTCACCCAGGCAGACAGAATGACTCAGCCTAATGTACTCTTCTACAGCCCGCTTCCTTCTTGTAGCGAGTAGTTCCTGCATTCTCCTTGAATCTTGGGCCTAGTCCCCCTGCTGGGAAGCATACCAAATTTTTAATATTCGTAATAAAACAAGAATAGTTTTAAATAGTAAAATACTGTGGCCAGTGCCTGGTCAGCCCTACAACCTCCAGCTTCTCTGTTACTCACAGGCTGTTGTTACTGGTGGTGTGTGCACGTGACCCTGTCTTAACCGTGGCTTGTTTGTTCTTCCCTTTCCTCGCAGCCACTGCTTCTTGGGACACCTTTCTCATGCTATGGAGTTTGAAGCCACACACTAGAGCTTACAGATACGTCGGCCACAAGGACGTCGTGACCAGCGTACAGTTTTCTCCACAAGGAAACTTACTGGCGTCGGCTTCACGAGACAGAACTGTTAGACTCTGGGTTCCTGATAGGTGAGAGGAACAAGCACTCGATAAACTTCCGACTGGGACTGTGAGAGGCTCCTGAGGCCTGGCTGCTCCTCATGTGCTTCCTGGGGATGCCTCAGCTCATTAATGGCCTGTGCTCATTGGGGTCACGGAAATACTGCCCTGGTTTTAAACTCAAACTATTTCATTCAACTCAAAATTAAGTCCTCCTTTTGAAAAACCATTTCTAACCTGGAGATCCATACAATATGTCTGAATGTTTTTTGGGAGATGGCTTGCAATCTCTGTAAATCTGAAAGAAACACAGTGGCATATATCAGAAGTTTAATTTATTAGGCTCCTTGTGCCCATTCATCGGTTTTTAGGGGCCCTGGGAACCTTGTCAACACCCCTGTGCTTAGACTATCCTTTGATTGTTATTCATTTTGGAGCTCTAGAATTTTCTTGTTTAAAAACTTTCTGACACCGGGCGGTGGTGGCGTACGCCTTTAGTCCCAGCACTTGGGAAGCAGAGGCAGGCGGATCTCTGTGAGTTCAAGACCCACCTGGGCTACAGAGTGAGTTCCAGGAAAGGCACAAAGCTACACAGAGAAACCCTGTCTCGAAAAACCAAAAAGAAAGAAAGAAAGAAGGAAGGGAGGGAGGGAGGGAGGGAGGGAGGGAGGAAGGAAAGAAAGAAAGAAAGAAAGAAAGAAAGAAGAAAGAAAGAAGAAAGAAAGAGAAAAGAAAGAAAGAAATACTTTCTGACAAAAATGTAAATCATTGCTTGGCAGTGGTAGCACATGCCTTTAATCCCCAGCACTTTGGGTGGCAGAGGCAGGCGGATCTCTGAATTTGAGGCCAGCATGGTGTACAGAGCGAGGACCAGGACAGCCAGGGCTACACAGAGAAACCCTGTCTTAAAAAGCCAATATATATCATTGCATTTGCTGAAGTCACATTCTCTGATTACAGATCTTCTGTGAGGCACTGTTGAGACGTGAGCTGACACCCTGTCTATTATAAAAGGCTTTATAGTTAGGATACTTTTTTAAGTTTTCAATTTTAAGTATATAAAATTTCAAACACCCATAAAAAACACATTGCACCATTTCCCCCACCATACCCACCAACATCCAGCCTTCCTTGTATCATATATCTACCCCTCCTCTTCCTAGAAGACTTTTGGAATGACTCGTGTATGTACTGTCATTTCCCTCTGTGTGTGGCAGAGGATGGACTGTCAGCATTTCCCTCGACTCTGTGGTGGCAGGCTCTGATTTCCAGTCTGTACACTAAATGGGCTCAGGCACTTAGAGGAAGAAAGCTCAGGAGTGATTGCCTGCCACTAAGTGCTATATTCTGCCACCACCCAAGGGGAGTTCTGTTCTGAAAAATCCGAATACTATGCTGACAGAAATAAAAGCTCTTAAAGAGAATTGACATGAAAATGTGCATGGACTGTAGGGAAACTCGGAGGTGAAAGCGGTGAGTTTGGGGTTCAGGAGGAAGCGTGCTCTTTAAAAGCCTTAGCTTTGGACATTTAGGACTCGTCCATTGTTGAAGGAGTTGCAGCCTGTTTTCTCTTGCTGATTTGAGAAACAAAGCTTTCGGGGTGGGTGCACTAAAATCGCACTGACCCATTAGCTTGGTGTGGAAATCTCCATGGTGATTGTATTTCTGTATGCTGGTTTCTCTTTCTAAATACTGTCGCAGTGGGGCCAGGGCAATGGTGAATCGCGGCAATGGGGAATTTATGTCAGTGATTAGTTATTCATCACTGCTTAAAATCCCCGAGACTGAGTAGCTTAACTCAAGTTACTCATCACTGCTTAAAATCCCCCATACTGAGTAGCTTAATTCGAAAACTACCTCCTCTCTTCATGTTGTGGGTGGCGGGGATGTTTTTCTCCCAGTTTGGTGTTGGCTGAGGTTACCACACAGCCTCATGAGCTGGTGGCTGAGCTGACGGTGTGTGCCTCAGTCACAAGTCCGGGGCCTTGGTGAGCCTTCTCATTCAGCAGAATAGCCTAGGCTTTCCCACGGCATGACAGCTGAGCTCCAGGATTGTAAATCAAAAGCTTTTGCAGTCTGAAGGACCAGGCCCTCACCTGCACAGTGTCTTATGTGCTGGACAGAATAAGTCACAAAATCCGACCAGATTCGAAAGAGGAGGGCAGTGAGGCCACAGCCCAGTAAACAGCACATGAACTCTGTTGCCTTGCTGTCTGCTGAGCTTCCTGTGCGTGGGGCCCAGGGCAGGCCGGCCCAGCTCGCCAGCTCAGAGGAGGCCCAGAAAGATACCCACGTAGTAGCACAGACTGCTGGGTGCTGTGCAGACTGAAGTTCAGGGACTATTTTAATGATATTGACTGATTGGCTGACTGGCTTCCTGGTCACTGGAGATCCCAAGTCTTTCCTTTCTTGTCTCGTGATTTGTTTTCACAAGAGTTCCCCTTGAAAACTGAAGTCAGTAGTCCTCAAGGACTGTCCCCTGGATGTTTACTACTAATATCAATTATTACATATGTAGTATTCTATGCCTGGTGATAGAAATTAATGATAAAGTCACATTTGCCCCCGTGGGCCACTGGCTGGGCAAGCCAGACTAAGTCTAAGAAGCTTTAAAGTATTGGTTCTTCCCAGTGAAATTCAGTAGGGAGTCATTGAACTCTTTCTATGTACCTGACATATGTCAACTGGTGATCTTACAGAGGTGAGTAAGGTCATTCCTGTCCTCAGAACACTTACAGATTAATAGGCAAGAAACGAGTTTAGTTCTCAAAAGTCAGGAACACTGCAGTGATTCAAATCCACGTAGCAGATCAGGGGCAGTGTGGTTGGGTCAGGGGTCTGCAGATGGACAACAGTCTTCCTAAGAGCACAAATGCAGAGGCACAGGTGTGTTTGAAGCACCCTGACTGCTCCGGGTACAAAGTTCAGCTCGGTGGCAGGATATCCTGCCAGTGAGCTTAGGGCGTTGTATTTTAGGTTGTGAGAGCCAGGAATACGTTTACACTGGGATTTATGTGCTTGCCATTACCTTTTCAACAAGTGGTAAGCACAGTGTGTAGGTGGCGGGGGTGGGAGGTGGGGTGGGGTTGGGGAATAAAGGATTAGAACAGGGAGACTACTAAGAGGCTTTTGCACTAATCTAGGTGAAGGGTGCTGGGGATTTAAGTGTCTGAAGGCAAGCAGCGCTGGGGTAGGAAGAAGAGGCTATTCAGAGTACACGTAGGAAGTGGTAGCCATGGGGTTAAGAGTGTTATGCGTGGAGGAGAAGTTGCATATGACTTCTCTGCGCTTCCCTCATAGAGGCACGCTGCTGTTGCTCCACTCCCATGGGAGCAAATACGGGGTGAGTTACAGTCACGTGAGCATCTAAGATTTGAGAATCTAAGATAGATGTCCCTGGCTGAATTCTGGTGCGTTATTTTCTTCAAGCACTGTAGCCATCTCTACTATAGGAAACGATTTTCTTTTTGGTTTTTTCGAGACAGGGTTTCTCTGTGTAGTTTTGGTGCCTGTCCTGGATCTTGCTCTGTAGACCAGGCTGGCCTCGAACTCACAGAGATCCGCCTGGCTCTGCCTCCTGAGTGCTGGGATTAAAGGCATGCGCCACCAATGCCCGGCCAGGAAATGATTTTCTAAGAGCAAAAAATGACTAAGTCCTGGTTATAGTGCAAAGTGACCATGCCTTGCAGACTTACCACTGGCACAAAATTTCCCAGCATTCACCTTGGCAATCAGCACCACTTGACCTACTGATTATTCTTCTTTTAAATGAAGAGGAGCTGAGTTTTTTAGAGATTTTTAACTTAGCATGTGTTCATAGGAGAGCTACTTGGGATAAGGATAGTGCATATTCAGGTGGGTGAGGGCTTCTCCAGAGAGTTACCCGTCCTCATCTATTTTTCAAAGGTTTTCCTCACCTCCAACACCTCACACTGTATTCTCCATTGCTCTATTATCTTTTCTCCTTCCCTCAGTTAAGAAAAGATGTGTATGTGAAATTTCAGAGCACTTTGGTTGTTAATGAGCATAAGATGGAGGCCATGAGGTCAGCAAGGCAGTTGATACACACTGGAGCCTTGGTAGTTGATCCTGGTTGGTCTAGACCCAGGGAGTAGGGGAAAGGAGGCGTGTAGCACAGAAGACACCTTCCTCTCCTGGGCCACACTATTAGCTCACAGAACTCCATGTGGCATGGGTTCAAAACTTTGCCTGGGGACTATCGATTTTAGTCAGCCTTAGCTCTTCGAGGCTGAAACTCCTTTAAACTGCAGGTGGCTGTTTCTATAGTAACAGAAAGTGTCATGTAGAGAGACTGGTTCAAACCGTAGTCCCAGCTTCCCATTAAGACAGAAGCAGCAGTGCGTTTCAGGGGCGGGGATAAGCAGCCTCCCTCCTGTCAAGTGTGAGCTGCGGCTTCCATGAGCCGAGCCAGTGCCCAACAGGACCAGTGAAGGACGCAGCACATGGCCTGCACACACTTGTGTAAGGTTGCGTGAGCACTGAGCTACTCGTAAGTTTCCGACTCTGTGTGGTGGGTAGATAGTAAAATTAAGTCATTTATCGCTATTGAACTTTGTTTACAGGACAGGGAAGTCCTCTGAATTTAAAGCGCACACGGCGCCGGTTCGAAGTGTGGACTTTTCAGCCGATGGCCAGCTTCTGGTTACAGCCTCAGAAGACAAATCTATTAAAATATGGAACATGTACCGCCAGCGCTTCCTCTACTCTCTGTACCGACACACGCACTGGGTACGCTGTGCCAAGTAAGTGCAGACGCTTCTTCCGACAGGACGTTTCCTGCTCCAGATGGTATTGGATCCCCCAACCTCCAGGAAAGGGATTGGGGTCATATTCAGTCATTCACTCAAATATTCTGTGACTGCTGTGTGCTGGGGTCACTTATTAACAAAGCAATCAAAATCCCTTGTTTTCATGGAGCTTACACTCTAGAATCAGGCAATTTAAAATATTTAAATAGATAGATAGATAGATAGATACACACATACATACATACATACATACATACATACATACATACATGGATACATGGATACATGGATAGATACATACATACATACATACATACATACATACATACATACATGGATACATGGATAGATAGATACATAGATACATAGATACGTAGATACATAGATACATAGATAAATATACAGATACATAGATAAATACATAGATAGACAGACATATATACATTATAGATAGATAGATAGATAGATAGATAGATAGATAGATAGATAGATAGATTAGATAGGTAGATAGATTAGATAGACAGACATATATACATTATATATATATATATGACAGTAAGTCTATATGTGCAGTTATGAACGGTGTTCAGGGGCTGCCTGACAGAGAAGTCTGTCTTTAAGTAGAGACCTAAGGGAGGAAAAAGAGGAAAGAGCATGGCTTGAGGAGTTCTGTCAAAGGAGGTGAGAGAATGTGGTTGTTTGAGAAAAGCAAGGAGCAGATAGTAGAAATAAAAGAAGGTGGAGAGAAAACACGAGTAGAGCACGCCCCTTCCACCAGCTCACTTAGTACTGGGGTAACTGTGTGCTGTGTGGTGCACAGTAGAGCATGGCCCTTCCTGCAGCTCAGTTAGTACTGGGGTAGTTGTGTGTGTGTGTGTAAGGATAGCCATTATTGGCTTGAAAGGTCTAGAATCATCTAAGAAACAGACCTCTGGGAATCACTATGAAAGCATTTCTAGATCGTGTTTACTGAGGTGAGAAAACTTGCTCTAACCCTGGCATCACCGTTCTGTGGACACTTGATAAAAAAGGGGGGATGCAGCCGGGCAGTGGTGGCGCACGCCTTTAATCCCAGCACTCGGGAGGCAGAGCCAGGCGGATCTCTGTGAGTTCGAGGCCAGCCTGGGCTACCAAGTGAGTTCCAGGAGAGGCGCAAAGCTATACAGAGAAACCCTGTCTCAAAAAACCAAAAAAAAAAAAAAAAAAAAAGGGGGGGGGATGCTAGCTGAGCACCAGCATTCATATCTCTCAGCTTCTTAAATATGGATGCCGTGTGACCCGCTGTTTCCTGCTCCTACATTGTGACCTCCCTGCCATGATGGACTGTGTCCTTTAACTGTGAGCCTAGGGAAACCCTTCCTTCCCTAACTTGCTTGTCAAAGTAATGAAGAAAAGCAACATAGAAACTGGTAGCCAGAAGTGGGTGGTTGCTGTGATCATTGTGACCACGTGGTTCTTAAGCCTTTGTAACTGATTTGTGCAGGAATATGGAAGAGTTTGAAACTTTGGACTAGAACAGCCCTATAAACAGATCTTAATGGGCCCTTCTTGTGGGAGAGACCAGGATGAATGTGAGGGGTTCAGAGGTGGGACAGGTATCTATTGAGAACAGTGCTACAGACCATTTGAATTACAGACAAATCTGGCAGCATTCTGCCCATGTCCTGAGAACTTGAATAAAACTGAACTTAAAAGTAATAGGCTAATTTGTTTGTGAGAGAAATGTCAAGACAGTATAGCATTCAGGGTGTGATGGCCACTGCTCCTTGCTCTTACTCAGATCTACAAGTAAGAGAGAGCCACAAGGTAGGGAAAGTGTGAAGGATTGTGAGGAAAGACATGTGTAGGCAGAGGTTTCCTGTCCCATCTGCCTGCTCCCAAATAACCTGCAGCTGCTTCCCAAATAACTGATTCGGAGACTTAATATAAATTATAAATGCTCAGTCAATAGCTCAGACTTGTTACTACCTAACTCTTACATTTAAATTAACCCATATTTCTTATCTATGCTTTACCATGTGGCTCATGGCTTGTTACCTCATTTTCTACACTTCCTGATTCCTCAGCTGCTGGCTCAAGTCTCCCTGACTCCACCCTTCTTCCCATCATTCTCCTAGTTTGGTTTTCCCAACTAACTTTATCCTGTTTAGCTATAGGCCAGTCAGCTTGTTTATTAAACCAATCATAGCAACATATATTCACACAGTGTGTAGAAGGATTATTCCACAGCATTTCCCTAATAAATTTTTTTGTTTAATAAAAAAGGAAGGTTTTAACTTTAACATAGTAAAATTATATACAACAAAAAGTTATTATAGTTAGAATATCCAGTCTATTTGTATTTGGCAAAATTAGAGAAAATGCTCTATTATTTATTTTATCTTGGTGAGTCTCAAGTTATATACTTAATTTGCTTTCTATCATAACTAAGGAAAACTATTATTTAGTCTATAATTCCATCAAAGATCCCAAAAGGACGAAATGTTGCCTAATGACAGGTATATCAGACTGCCTGGACAGTCACCCAAAGTTCCTCTCCAACGTTGGGGCATCCAACTCTGGCCTACAGACCTAGCATACTTTACAGACTGTCCTGTGAAGCAGAGAATTTTGAAGGACTGTCCTATCTTGTCTTGGCAAAGTTTGGCAATCTCCTTTCTTGTGCCCTGCTGGTCCAATTTGAACAATAACTGTCCCCAATTGAGGCAAGGGCGGTTTCTTTGCCCACATGGCTAGCTTTTGCCATAAGGAACGCAAACTCCATACAGTGTTTCTTCAGTGCCCATCATCTTCTCTGAAGTAGATTGGTGCTGCCAGGAGCAGACATGTCTCACTGTCATGAAAAGCCTTGGGTTATTAAATGTATTAAATGCCACATTCTGAAGGTCTTTGAGTGTTTGAAGACCATCTATTTATCTAAATGTATCTGTTTATGACCTTGAAAACATAGTTAACAAGACTTAAGTTTGACTATTATAGATGACTAATAATTTGCATTTTTAATTATACACTAAATTTTTAAATGAGTTGCATAAGCACAATAACCCAAACAGAGCAGAAGCATGCATACAGTATAACAAAATTAAATTTGTATCAATATACAAAAATCCGTACCAATGTAAAATATTTAAGACTAGTAGTTGCTTGTTTGGTTTAAAAGTAGATACAGTAATCTACCCTTTTATCCTATCATTTTTATATCCACCCCCCTTTTTCTTTTCAGAAAGAGATCCTTGAATCTAATCTCCTTTGTTCGGCTTTTTTTTCCTGACCATGACCAATAACAACTTATAACCAACCCCTCCTTAAATGATAACAAACATCCATAACCAATATTTTGGGAATGTGGACTTTTTTTCTCTAGACTGCTTCCTTTTGTCTGGGTGCACTGGTAATCTTTGAGAGAACCTTGAGAAAATCAGGATCATTGTTAAGTCTTGGCTGGAGTATTCTGTGAGGCTGGATCATCTCAGTCAGCAGCCTTGAAGCTGTTTTGGATGCTGGATCACTTGGTCCATACGTTTTAATTGATGTCTGGTCCTCTTGTACTGAGAATATATATACTTTTAAAGGTAACATACATATCTGTATCAAATATAGACTGTGCATTATACACAAGCCGACCAAAGATAATTTTTTGTTATGTGGTTGAGCAGGTAAAATATACATCACATGTCTTGTAGTTCTTCTAGGTTTATTTCTTTATGTCTGTAGTCAGGATTTCAAGGTGTTTTCCTCACTCAAACCTGGTTTTCTTTAACCCAGAATGAATCCACAGCCTTTCATTTCCTGTGGAAATAAAAGCATAACCTCTCCCCCAAAGTATAACACGTCTTTTGACTTAAAGTTTGAGTTCAAGATGTTTTTAAAATATATAGGTTGGTTGAATCTAGCAGTTTTTTTTTTAATTTAGTGTCTCTTAGCAGCCAAAAAATTCAAAGATAATACAATAACATATAGGATCCAGACTCTGTGTATTTTCCATCTTTATGTGCCTTATTATATTTTTTTATTGCTCTATTTCTTTTTTAAGGACTTTCTCTACCCTTTTTCTTTGCTCTCCCAAGCCTAAGTAAATTTTTAAACACACTGTAACCCATTTAGAGGTTTTTTTCTTTTTCTTTTTTTCGTCTGAATCTGTCTTTACTGCATACGTGTAACCTTTTCTGTCTGCATGAGCAAAAACCCCAAACCCACCATGCAGTGCACTGGTGGAGCTTGCTCTGCTAGCTTAAGCCCACAGGTAGCGGCTGGGAGACACCTCTCTGTACCACAGCCTGTGTGTATGCCAACGTGTGCTGGCAGTTGCTGGGAGATGCATCTCCGTACTAAAGCAGGTGTGAGAGACACAAGACTAGGAAGTTGAGTCTAGCTCCCTTTCTGTGTGTTGTGTGTTTAGAACCTTTTTTTTTTTTAAGCTTTCTCAGGTTTTATGTGGATGTATGTAGCACTGACCATTGGGTGCCATTTTTAGGCAGAGTTTTCCTGTCCTATCTGCCTGCTCCCAAATAACTGGCCACCACTTCCCAAATAACTGACTTAATATAAATTATAAAAGTTTGGCTGATAGCTCAGGCTTTTTACTACCTAACTCTTATAAGCATCGGAGCAAGTTTAAAGTTGCAGATGAGAACAGCATAGAGAGATCATCTATAATTGAGAGAAGGATGCACACCATTAAAGAGAAAACTCATTCTTGTCCAGGGGAAAATATCGAAGGTGCCCTAAAGGCACAAGTCCACCCATTGAAGGCTGCAGCTTGTAAAAATGAACATTCATTTGAGTAGAAAACCTGAATTGAGAAAGTTGGTTGAAGGGGTTCCCTGCTGGAAAGCAACCACCTCGGCAAACCAGCCACTACAGCTTTGGCTCAGGGGGGCCACACTACATCTCCAGCTGGCAAACACATTGCTAGTGTTGTCAGCATGGTACCAAAATGAAAGATGCCAGAGTGAAGGGCTCGTGGAGGCTTTCCCGAGGTTCCAGAATTCTGC